AAAAAATGAGTAAATGATTTAAATAGACACTTCACTAAAGAAGATATATTACTGGTAAATAAGCACATGAAAAAATGTGGTATTAATTAGTAGAAAAATACAAATTAAAACCACAGAGAACTATCACTACACACTTATTAGAATAACTATAAATACATTATAAAAAACTGACAATACCAATCTTTAGTAAGGATATTGACCATATACTGCAAGTAGGAATTAAAATATTATAGCTGCTTTAAAAAAATGTCTAGTAGTTTCTTATAAATTTCACCACACATCTACTCTATGACTCACAATCCAACTTCTAGGTATTTACCCAAGAGAAAGGAAACTTTTGATCACTCAAAAACCTGGACATGAATGTTTTTAGTGGCTTTTTTTAATCACTAAAAACTCCAAACAACCCCAAAGTTCTTCAAATGGTAAAAGGAAAATCACACAGTGATACATCTGTAAAATAAAATATTACTCTGCTGTAGAAAGGGATAAAGTATTGATAACCACGACATGGGTCAATCTCAAGCACAATATGGTAAGCAGGAGGAGGTCAACTCAAAAGGCTATGCATTAATACTTTATGTTGCCATCGTATGGCATAAAAGGAAAAGGCAAAATTACAGGGATAGAAACAAACCAGTGGTTTCTAAGGGTTGGAGGTAAGCAGGAGAGTTTGATTATCAAGAGACAGCAAGAGGGAAGTTTTGGGAGTAATATAAGTGTTCTGTACCTCGATTGTGGTGATGGTCACACAACTATGTGCATTCGTAAAAACTCAAAGAACTGTGCCAAAAGGTGCCAATTTTACTTTATGTGAAATTTTAAGCAGTGAATAAAAATAAATAATACTTTACAATGGTCAGTAAATATTACAGTATTATTAATTTTAGTTATATTTGTTATTAATAGGTCAGGCAAGTGGGAGACAGACTAAGAGAGGTAGAATTGGGAAGCTTTGATGATAACCCATGTGAAATTATTTAAAAGAAAAACAGGGACATGAAAAGAAGCAAACAGAAATCTTTTTGACAAGACAGTAAGAAGGGTAAACTGGGGCAGAAAGATTGACTCAGAAAGGAAGGAGCCAAGAGTATAAACTGCCAGGACTTAATTCATGCACTAAATTTTGATCTAATATGCATCAATAAATTAAGGGTTCTGTTCCCCTAGGGCTGGGGTGGCAGATAGGGAAGCAGTAGGACAGGCCTCTATGGTGGTGCCGGTCTTAGCATCAAATGTGTACCCAAGTCATAAATCAGGGAGGGATACCCAAAGTAAGTCAAGGCCGTAGAGAAAGGGATGCAGGCAGGAATCCTGGGAATCAAACAACTACACCTCTGGGTTACAGAGCCTGGCTCCTGACTTTAAGTGACACAGTAAGAAGAACTAAGAACCAACCCACTCAGAAAGCCAACCTGACGCAGACAGCTGATACGACAGCAAGCTGGTGCTCATGGTCTGAATTCATTCCACCAGCAACCTAGACACCAGCGTGGAAGCAAGCTTTGCCAGAGGCCCACTCCTTCGGTGGGGTTTTTTGGTAAATGGTAACAGGATGGAGCTGAGGATAGAAGGAAAGAGCCCTTAACATATGATGTGGTTTAACTTTCTGGCTCTGTTACGGCACAGTTGCCTCAGATAGCAAGCCAAGGACAGTGCCTGAAAACAAACAAACAAACAAACAAAACAAAACAAAACAAAAATCAAAGGTGGTAAGATAATTTTCTCAGGAAATAACGAGGATACCTAGGACAGCTTCATGGAGGAGATGATATGTCATATGAATTTAGGAGGTTTGTAAATTTAAAATGTGGGGGTAGATAAAAGAAAGGGAGAGGAAGAAAAGAGTGAGATGGAGAGGAGGAATGAGAAAGCCATTAGAGATGACAATATTGACAGTGTAGAATACTGAAACTGCAAACAAAGACAGAAAGCTAAGAATATGGAACATATACAAATAATAGCAAATTTGCTAATCTGATGGGATCAGCTCACAGAGAAGCAGCAGGATATGGATGTATTATCATTGAATGAAATAATTCACAGGGAGGGGTAACTACTCTTGCTCTGAATGTTAGATGTGGAGTTTGTAAGCCAGAGAATGAACAGTTTGGAAACAGTTTGCTTCCTGACACCGTTCATAGCTTTACTCACTCAATCAAAGATTAAATAGCATCTTTCAGGCTTAGCAGCACACAAAGTGCTGTAAGTAATTCAGAAATAATATGTAATATGTTACTATGCTTCTTTGTGGAGCTTACAATCTGGATAGCAGAATCCAGAACATCTATAAGAAAAAACAGTTTGCATAAAAGGATTAATGAATCTGCTTTTGAGTCTTTGCCTCCAGTGTGCAGACTCAATAAGCACATTCGCAATGTTTTGTATTTGCAATATTCTGCACTAGATATTATATATTTTCAAAGTTAGCCTTTCCTTTTTCACTTCATTCTCTTTCCTTTCTTTCTAGAACTTAATATAATTTCTAGACTTGCTATTACATACCAGTTGCTGTGTAGGTCAAGAAAAAAACAAGATAGAAACCAGGTTGAAAAATGGTATTTGAAATGTCATTTTAGAGATGGGTAAACTGAGATTAAAAAATAGTTTCAAAATTTGTCCACGGTCACACAGGGAACAGGTGAGGGAGTTGGGATTGAATCCAAGCTTCAAAACTTCAAAACCATTGTTTTATACTGAGAAAAATATAACCTCTGAAAATTACCATTTATACAGATTAAAAGACTCCTCATTTGGTGGGGAAAATTCCTCTTGAAAGAAGAAACAGTAAAGTTCACTTTGGTGCCAGATAACATATTCCCAAGAGGCCAAGTCATTTTCAGATGGGTGATAATTCAATCTGGCTGGAATATTATCATTTCTGTTTTCCTCCCTACTTTTATGCTTCCATGTTGATCTTTTTTCTTTCTTTTCCTTTTTTAAAAATCCATTTTCAATTAAGATTTCTAATTAAATTCCAAGTTTAAGACACATCTCTTGCAGAAAGCAAATGGTAAGAGTAGTAATTAAAAAGCAGCTGTCTTATCTTTCTGAGTATGAAACAAGGCTTTTTGTCTCTAAGTTATGAAATCCTAGGAAATATTTTTTTGTGATTTTTTTTCTTCTTTTTTAGTAACAGCCAACTTATTTGCAAGATGCTGAATATATCTAGAAAAGTCAATGCCCTTTCTAATATGTATGCTGAAACCTCTCCTCTGGAATAAACATAGGTCAACTCTAATACTCTGGGACCTTGAGCTTTTATTGCTGCAAATACAAAATCCCCACATTTTATAGCAGATCAAATCACTCTTGGAAGTATGCACTATCCCCTAGTCATTTCCCTCACTTTAAGGCTTTTTTAGGAGCTTAAATTATGAAAATTTTACAAGTCAAGGAGAATAAGCATTTTTAATGGAAAGGAATATGATTCAGATTAGCTGAGGAGCAAACAGTATTTTTTTGTGGTGTTTCTGTTTGACTAAGAGAACCAATATTACTAATATGCTGATACTGAAAATTATTTAATGAGCTGTTACTCCAATTTTCCTTATTGGTACCTAAGGCTATATTTTCACATGTAAAGTATAATCAGGATTTGAAGCAATTAACCATATAATTCAGGTCAAGAAAAACCTGCTGCTAGAAAAAACTAAACCACTGAAGCAAACAGATTTTCTTTTTTTTTTTTTTTTCTGGCTTAAATTATCTAGATTCTAGAAAATTATCTAATATAGTTTAATGTGCATAGCCATAAAATAGGTCAAGTTACTAAAAGCAGCCCAGTCTCAGGGGTAAAAGAAACATCTTAAAATGCATATTTCTAAGAGAGAAACTTTTGAAACATTTCCCAATATAATCCTGGAAATAGCTTGGGGAAATATTAAGTTAAATAAAGGTACACACACATATGTGTTTGTGTGTGTATAGGTTTGGTTTGGTTTTGCTTTTTTACTGTAGAACTTCTCAAACCTATAATATGTTAAGATGTGCACTTAAAGGTCCTGAGAGTATTGCAATCTTCAGATATTTTGAAAATTTCTTAACCCCAAACAATTTTATGCAGAACATATCATGGAACTGGTATTCAGAGGAATGAACTTATAGAGAACGTTTCTGCACAGTAATAACCCATTTACACTGTACTTTGTCAGGAGATGCAGTAGGATGGGTGGGGTCAGACCAAAGGACATCACAGAAATGGCAAGGGCAGAAAGTGGCCAGGCAGAACAGGTCCAAAGTCACCTTGCCATGAACATTAGAGCCCCATGGGACTGGGCCGGTTCTCATATCCATTTTCATCCTATATTCAACCCAGTTTCATCTACGTCTTGCTTCACCTCTGTGCCTTAGCTATAACCACACCATCCTTCCTTTAATTATTTTTTTGCTTACTTTTTTTGCTTCAATTACTTTCTTTATTCAGTGTTGTTCCATCTGCTTGGGATTCTATCCTTACACTTCGAGTCTTATTTAAATGTCATTTTTCAGAGAAATACTCTCTGTTTATCCAATCCATAGTAGATTCCCTTGCCGTCCAATATTTTCTCCCATAGAACTCTGCTAATTTTTCTTCATAGCATTTATCAAAGTCTGTGCTCATATACGGTATCTGCTCATTTATTTTACATCTCCTCTATTGGACCGTAAGTGCCATGAAAGCAACACGTCTGCTTTGCCCACTTCTGTAAAATTGCCTTATAGATAAGCGTTGCCCATATAACAGGCCTTAATGAATATGTATTGATTTAATAGTAGGAAATAGTACTTTGTTGATTTCTTTACATTTCTGTCTAGGTATAGGCTAACTAAAATCTTCAAAATTAGTTTAATGTACACATAGAAATTAATTTCTCTTTAGGATGTGGCCAGCCACCTATAACATGCAGTCACACATATTTGAAGACACCAAACTGGCATTATCACAAAATATTTTGTTAGTAAGCTTTAATTAATCATCAGTACAAATGAATATTATACACTGAGAATGACTCTTGTACCTGATTTATGTTGTGTTCCTCAACCGTTCTTCCCCTTGATTATTGTTTTTGTGGTTTCAGGGCTCTGCAAAGGACCAAAGCACAAAATATTAGGACATTATGTTTCACTGGAAACTTTTTCTCTAATGTGCCCATAGTTCAAGTATTTAACATGCTTAGAAAGCCAGTGATTACCAACTTGGGGACTTATCATCAGTATAAGATTCATTGGCCATAGCTATTTCTTATTTCTATTGCAAATTAATCAGCTTTATTCAACTTGTAGAATCCCCTAGAAGAAATTATAGCTGCTCCTTATTTACTGCTTATATGTGCCACGCACTAGTCTACCCTAAGCACTATTCTAAATGACATGGATTAATTCATTTATTTCTCATAACCACTGGGTAAGAAAGGGTTAACTCATAAGAGTGTTTTTTGTATACATGAGGCCTTGGGCTATGCAGTTCCAGTTTGATCAGATAAATTTATTCTAAAACTGTGATTTAAGGTGAACATGCATTTTTGCTTGAGGGAAGGAAAGTCTAGAGTGGGGGAAACTGAGGTCCATCATCCAGGGCTACACGCTCTTGTGACTGACAGCCAGTAAGACTCTAGAGATCAAAGTTGGCTAAGCTTCCCTGGTTTACCATACTTCACACATGTCAGATATTTGTTGCTGGAAGCTTTAAGCTTATCCCCCTGTGACTCCAGTGGGAAGGAGATACCTGGAAGTTTATTCTTGTGATTTTGCCTCACGAGCTTTAATACATATCCTTTCACTCATGACTCTGATTATACAACTTTTCCAAGTCTTGTGAGTTCTTCTAGTGAATCATTTGAGCCTGAGAATAGTCATAGGGACCCCTGAAACAACCACCCTGTGAAGTGGTACTACTATCATACACATTGTATAGATAGAGCATTTGGCAAAGACAGGTGAGGTAACTCAGTCAGAGTCCCACAGCTATTAATAGTTTAAGTGTCGATATTTGAATTTGAACCCAATGGTCAGGTTCCAGAGTTTGGGCATTTTACCACTATGCCATGTTGTTTATCCAAACATTTGTTATTATATGTTATACAATAAGTGTATCAAAAATGCCACCTAATCCTTTTTCCTATTTCATTTTCAGGAATGATAATTTTCAAATTGCTAAGTTTACTGTCAATTACCAAGATTTCATTTTATCTGTCAAAAGAAGAATAGTAATTTATTGGGCTAAAGTTCTTTAACTACTGTATCTTATTCAAAACAAAATTTCCTCTGGTAATGTCAATAATACAGATGTGACATAAGATTTTCTCCTTCACATTATCATAAATTGCTCTTCATCATATATTGTTTATAATATAAGATGATGAAACTACAAAAAGTAAACTTTAAATCACACCAGGCTTCATATAATCTGGGGAAAATAAAATATCTTATCCCAATTTTTCTTAAGATTTTTTTTTTACTTTTTGACTCTGATAGATTCAGAGTTGCTTTTCAGATAAATGTTAGAAAAGGAACTTTTATACGAGAAAGCATGAAACTAATCACTTAGCTACAAATAAAGACAATGCAAACTATCTACTGATTGCCAAACACAAAACAGAAAAATACCAGTTATATAGTAAAGTCATGTTTGCTGTATTAAGCTTTTATTCCGGTGGATTTTGCAAAACACACCCTGGTCTACTAATTAGCCATGATCATTAGGTATCTGGGATAGTAGCTTTAGTCTAACACTTGAACAAAATTGTAATTTATCTTTTATCTTTTTTTTCAAATCCACCCAAGCATTATGCTCTGATGTGCATACAGCAGATGGCAGTGTCCTGTTCTTATCACCAGAACAGATTGCACATTTCCTCTTGATATTTTGAGGTGTCATTACATCTGCAAAGGTGATGAATCTACCCTGAAAATACAGTGTGAATGTGCAGAGGTCAACATAGTCTCACATGGTCCCAGGTCTCTAAACTAGCCCTAGAATCATTTTTTTTTTTTAAACCACTCAGTAAAACGTACTGAGAAAGGGCAACACTTCATATAGTGAAGACTGAATACATCAAATATAAACTGGATAATTGTGCAAGTTCAAAGGACAAAATTTATGATGCAGAAAGATCAATTGTGTTATTTGAGCCTGAGTCTTTCAGACTTGTTTTGTCCCCATTACAGTGTTATTCATTACTTGTCAGCTCCCATCATGTAGTAAGAGCCAATATTTGCTCAAACCCACTGAGGTGTATGGTCACCGTAAATACACACCCCACGGAGTTAAGGCAAACAAAAAGCCTTATTTAACACTTGTCATTACCTTCACAATAAATGACCAAATAAGATATGGTCCTTAAGGTTTTCTTCAAGTAGAAAATACAAGATTCTATTTTAAACAACTTCTGGATCTTAAACTGAATTAAACATTGTTGATTAGGGTTACAATGTGGAACATTCTAAAAAAAAAAAAAAAAAAAAAACTGGAGTGGACCCAATTAGGCTTCCACCTTATGCTGTATAGGTCAGTGCTGCTTTTGCTTGTTTGCTGTACCCATCCCTCTGTGGCCCTGAATAGGGCTTTCATCACATCCTGTCTCTGCTCCTACCCTAGAGTCCTGGTATGATGAGGTTATAGCTAAAGTCAAAGCTGACTATTTGCCTTTTCCATGTTGCCCATGGAAGAAAGCTGGGCTTGAGATGCCTTGTGATGACCCCACACAGCCCAGGGGACCCCATCAGTGAGAGGTTTGGGGATATTAAGCCAAAGGCAGGAGCTGAATGGGGTGTAGTTTAGAAAAGAACAGGGAGAAAGCATAGTAAGTCAGGGAATTATGCAATATGGTGGTCCTCATGTGTTCTGAAAAATCCACACTTTTGTCCCCTAAACGGTCCAGCACTTAAATACCTGCCTCATGTATTCTTTACATATAGTTACTTTCTATTATAAGAAACTGTTTCTAAGACAGATATAAAAATTCAATATGATCTCTAAAAGCAGGCTTTAAAAATCTTACTTTTGTTGCCCAATTCTCATCCTTTATGGTAAAGGCAAAGTATAGTAGAATTTAGCTGACAATGGTATTATTCTGAATATTCTTCAGGTAACCTGGGCAACTATTAAAAAGTTTCTATTAGAATTAATAAAAGAATCCAAGCAAAGTCCTACGATGCAAGGTAAATTTGCAGCAATAACTTTTCTGTATAATAACAATAGAAAATAAAATTTTCAAAATGAACAAACGTAACTCCTAATAGCAGCAATAATAATCCATCAGTGTAACCATAACAAAATCAATAAAGTAATTATAAATAACCATGTAAAATATTATAAATATCTATAAAGAGAAATAAGAGACTATAACATATGTGTAAGTGGGAAAGGATTTACAATGTAATCATTAATTCTTTCCAATTTATATTTTTAGTGTAATTTCAATGAAAATTCTCATGGGAGCAATTGTAGAGCCTATTAAAATTTTATGAAGTTCATTTGAAAAAATAGTTGTGGATCACAAAGAAAATTCTGAATATTAATATTAATGAGATATTTCATTTAATGATAAAATATATTATTGTGACCCAAAATTTAACACAGAGCAAAAATGGCTCAGAAGTTGATGTACATACTAGTAGGAAAATATGGAAATCCCAGAAGCATCCAATTTTATGCATTCATTAATTCAACAAACATATAATGCCTGTCATATGCCAAGCACTGTGCTAGTTATTAAAGGGACAATATAATTCCTGCCCCTAGAAGTTAACAGGCATTTTAATTATAATAGAAATTGATATAAATGAGCATAGGACTCTATGGATACATATGGAAAAGAAACTAAATTCAATGTATAGTAAAACAAGTACCACAAATTAATAAAAAAAAATTATTTGATAATTGTTGAGAAAATTACCTAGCTTTTTGGAATAAGATCAAATATGTCTTATTAGATATAGATATAAATTCCAAATGTATTATGGAAGTAAATGCAAAAATATGCAACATAAAAAATGAAATTTATTATTTGAACACTTTTTGAAGAGGTCAGTTCTACTTCTGAAGCTTAGAAGTGATAGAAGAAATTACAAAGAAAGTGCCAGGTAGATTTGACTGTGTAAAATACTTCCCTAGGTTAAAAAATAATAATAATAAAATCAGACATGAAATTATTTGCAATACATCAAATTCTATTTTATACAAATACTAAATGCCAAATGAGAAACATTCCAAGGATACTTCATAAGACACAACTCATTAACAAACATATGGAAAAATGTTCAACTTCATTGATACTCAAGGAAATAACCATTAGAAACAATGGTCAATAATATTTCATCTAACAAATTGGCAAAGAAAAAAATAATGTCCATACTTGATGCTATTTTGGGATAGCTTTGAATGCTACTTTCCTACACCCCCAAGAGTATTTTCTAAGAACTCTCTAAAAGTGTTCCTATCCTGTCCCAGAAAATCTAAGAAGTGTTCTCACCATATGTAGTTAGCACAAGACGCTCGTTTCAGACACATCCTATTTTAACACCCACTAAACCATAACATTCTTTAGGCAAATGACTACTAAATATTCATCATAGTATTACAGGTACCATAGCCAGCACGTGGGAAACATGCAATATATGTGTAAAATGTTGAATAGATGAATTAATGAGCTCATTTCTTCATCATTAAAATAAACAAAGTGTGGCATTAGCTTCTCAAAAATGTTTTCATACCCTTTGATCTAGTAATTCTAATTCTGAGTTTCTAGTCTGGGGAAGTATCTTAAATACAGAAAGGAGTTGTGTACAGAAAGAATTACTAGCATATGACTTCAGTGAAAAAAATACAAACATCCTAAATATTCAAGAACAAATCTTTGAATAAATTGTATTATACAAATTTGATAGAATATTAGGTCACTATTAAAAACAGATGTTCCCAAAGAGTTTAAAATTCACATTTAAAATGGCTTATATCAAAATGTCAAATGTTAAAAAGCAGTATTTAAAGTTGTATATCTCATTTATGACTATGGTGCAGTGTAGCAGGTAAAACTTCACATAAAATCCCATCTTCACTACTCTTTAACTTTATCTCAATG